AGCAGAAAGAGAGAACAAAACATGGGTAAACTCATGTGGAGTTGTGATTCATAACAGGAAGCAAACATTTGGTCTTCCTCCCATGACTGGCACAAAGGTCCTAAAACCCTCGGAATTTCCTGTGATGACAGTGACAAAGGTGTTTTTTGTTACATCAATGACATGACTTTTGGATCACCTAGGGATGGGGGCTGGTTGCCAGTGGAACAAACCAGAAATAGACATTTGAAACTTTCATTCCCACCCCCTGATTCTGAGGAGTGGGAAGGGGCTGAAGGTTGAATCAATCACTAATGGCCAATGATTGAGTCAATCATGCCTTGGTAGTGAAGCCTCCATAAAAACCCAAAAGGAGGCAATTCTAGGAGCTTCCAGGCTGGTGAACCAGAAAGCGTCTATGCGCTACTAAAGGGACAGAGGCTCCTTTATTCAGAAACTCTCTACGCATGTTCTCATCTGGCTGTTGACTTATAACCTTTACAATCCTTTGGAACAAACTTGTAATCTAGTGAGTACACTGGTTTCCTGAGTTCTGTGAGCCACTGTAGCAGATTTATTGAACCCAAGGAAGGGATTGTGGGAATCTGTGATGGACAGCCATGTGGTCAGAAGCATGGGGAACAACCTGGACTCATGCCTGGAATCTGAAGTGAAGGGCCATCTTGGGACTGAGCCCTTAACCTACAGGATCTGATGTTACCTCTAAGTAGATAGAGTCAGAATTCAGTTGAACTGTAGGACAACCAGCTGGCATCAAAGAATTGCTTGGTGGTGTAGGGGGAAAAGTCTGTACATCAGAAATGGTACCACGATCCTCAACTTCTCACTGCACAAAACCAGAAACAACCTTCCTCCAGGCTTCTCGCTATGCAAGATAAGTAAGTGTTGAACTTTAACTCATGGTTAATCAGTGTTGGGGCAATGTCTATCTTCCTGAACTCATGTTCCACGTGAAAGGACTCCAGCCAGAGGAACATTCTGGTGGCTCAGTCAGACAAGTGACTTACAGGTGGCCTTGGTGGAAGGAACTAAGCTCCTTCACCTCAGTCCCCTTCTTCTCCCATCTGAAACCATCTGCTACATAGAGGTATACTTTGATTTTCTCTCTATGATTTAGCAAGGTTACTGGGGCTGACCCTGCTCTCATTGACGGGGCCTGGGCTGCCGATGACTAGAAGAGATGGAATTTCTAAAATGGCCCATAAAAATATCCCACCCTAATCCCCAGGACCTCTGCTGTGATGAGCTACCACTCCCATAACTATGATATATCATATGGCACAGTTGACCTTAAGATAGGAAAATTATCCACATAAGCCTAATCAAATCACAGGAGCCTTAAAAGCAGGGCACTTTCTCAGGTTGGTGGCAGAGAGACAAAGGGAAGTCAGAGAGATACAAAACACCAGAAGAATCCCATGTTCGCTTTAAAGATGGAGGGGCCATGTGCCAAGGAATTCAGATATCTCCTAGAAGCTGAGAATGGGTGGCCTCCACCTGACAGCCAGCAAGGACACAGGAATCTCAGTCCCACGACCACTGGCAACTGATTTTTGCCAAAATCTGAATGAGAGTGGAAGCAGATTCTTCCCCAGATCCAGAGCCCAACCCAGCCGACACCTTCATTTCAGCCCCATGCTCTGCTGAGCCTAGCACCCAGCCAAGCCCGCCTGGACTTCTGACCTACAGCACTGTGTTACAATAAATGGGTGTTGTTTAAAGCTTCTGCAATTGTGATAATCTGTTACACATCCAGAGAAAACTAATACAGCAGGGCAGTCCTTCTGATTCAGGGTGAAGTGATTAATAAGTCTTTTTGGCATCAAAACCAAAGCTATAGGACAGCTGGTAGCTCAGTCTGTTCAGGGTCTGCCTTGGGCTCAGGTTGTGATCCCCAGGTCCTGGGATGGAGCCCCATGTCGGGCTCCCTGCTCAGCAGGGAGTCTGCTTCTCCCTCTCTCTCTGTATCTCCGCTTATGTTCTCTTTCTCTCTTAAATGAATAAATAAAATCTTAAAAAAAAAAAAAGCTATATCCTCCGATCAGCTTATCAGCAATAAAGCTGACTTCTTAAACTTCATCTGACTCCCCCATTTTTCAATTATTTCTGAGTTCAGAAGAAAAAAAAAGAAGGGGAAAAAAGGTTTTATTTATTCATCTGATATAAACCCCAGTAGGAGGGTATTGTATTACTCTGTAGCCAAAAGCATTTCTACACAATACATTAACCTCCAGCAACTCTTTAAAATGAGGCTCAGACCTGGGATAAGGGAGAAGGACCCAAATCATGTCACCTCAGAACACAGGCACCCAGAAGGCTTATTTTATATTTTATCTTTACTCCACTAAAAATCGTCTCTTCCTTATAGCTGAGAAAAAACACAGCAGATGAAGAAAAAGACTTAATCCTTAAATGGATGGGCAGGGGGAAATGTATCTTCCCCACAGGAACTAAAAATCCACAACCTCCAACTTCAACGAAGTTTATAAAATTTTTTAAATTTTCAGTTTTCAAGTAATCATCTAAGAGTAGCTGGCCTTTGAGATGTCATTTAAATGAATGGCAAAGCGCTTTGAGATTTTCCACCAAAACTACAGGCAGCCAGCGAAGTGCAGATGGGTTGTTTGTGTATTCAGGAAGCACGCTTCTCCTCCTCCTGGAACTCAGTCACCCCTTCCAACAGCACCCTCCTCCGATGTTCTGCAAATGCATACAGCTCAGTCTGCCAATTCCATAACACACTGCGGTTTCCTTCCTAAAAGACTCCCAGTCTTTGATGGCACTGCAAGGAACTGAGTGCCATCAGCATAAAAACGAAATGCAGGATTTTTAAGGCTCTGTCCCAGAGTCCTTCGAACCACCCATCTGAGAGGCAGCTTTAAGGGAAGGAGACTTATACTCTCTACTTGTAGTTTGAAATTCATTAGGGGAAACTAGTCCCCAAATTCAGTAGCAGATGTGGTCACAATGATGGCAATCTCTTCCTTCATTTAGAATATAGTAACTAATTTTTTTTTCTAAATGGGGAATTTCAAAAGCTTTTAGTGCAATCCTTTCTTTCTACAAATAAGGAAACTTAGATCTAGAGAAGCTACATAAAAATAAAAATGCCGGGTCAGTCGTTTCTCCATTTGAATCTTGTTCTGAGTGTTCTATCCACCAGACTCCTGTCTAACTTGGAGGGCTATGAGGCCCTGGCTAACAGGGCACCTCCGAGAAGCTCAAAACAGCTCCTGGAGATGGGTTTGGAGATGGAGACTTGCCATGTCTGGTTTAGGGAGACCCGAACATCTGAGAAGCAGAAAAGCTGAGCCTTGACGGTTTCCGTGGTGACCACTGAGCCCAAGCCTATGCTCTAATGAGCCAGTTGGCCAGCCAGCACCTGGGAGCAAAGGCTGTGGGACATTCCAGGAATATCCACGCACCACTGAGCTCCTCAGAGGAAATCAAATGGGTGGCTAGGCTGCTAATAAGGGCTTCTTTCGGGACACAGATACACAGCAGATCTGAACTCTTTGTGTCTGGCCCCTTGCAAGCTCTCTTCCATACATCATTCCACGCAATCATCACCAAAACCTTCTAAAGTAGATTCAAATTCTATCCTCCTCTTTCTCACCAATGAGTAAACTGAGGTCGCTCACCCAGGATCACTGAGCTCATTAAAGATAGCGCTAAGCTAGTTCTCCTGCCCCATTCCTCCACTCTCTCAAACCTGAAACCGCTCACCTGGGAAGTGCCCCTGTCTTTTTCTGAAGAGAAGTTGTGTTCTTGTCTCTGAGAGAAAAACAAGTGCGGCGTTAGAGCTCACCACTGATCTATCTTTACCCATCATTGCTAGATTCCGAAAAGGTCTCAAATAGTCACTTTTAAATATTAAGTCATCATCAGAAACAACTCCCTGAAGAAGGTTTGAAAGACTCAAGAACTAAGTCAGTAACGAAAAAGAGAGCAGAAATGATGTTACACCTGAGCCAAACAAGTTTCCTCTGAGATCATATGGATAAGTGTTAGTTAAAGGGCATTGAGAAGCCCAAGCCAATGGCATCTTCTCCACAAACACATCACTGAGGCCAGGAATGCCAACTTTAGTAAATAAATTCCTTGAGTTGAGTTTTTGTCCTTTGTTTAAAGGTAAGTATTCCCAGGAAGAAAAAACCCACTAAGATAATGGCAATCATCAACACTTTAGTATAAGTTAGTACATGCTACTGCTGAGAGAGCACTCAGAAGTGAGAGGACAGAGAGGGTGGGGCCATGAAGAGACAGATACAAAGCATGAAGGCAGTATCTGGAAAAGGCAGGTTTCTGGAAGAGGTCTTAGAAGCCAGGATCAGCCTAAAGATACCAGACCTAGAAATAAAAAGGAGTGAAGAGTTTCCAATAACAAAACAAATGGATTTACTTCTTTACTTTATTGCCAATACACTTAGCAACCTATCTTCCCTCTTTAAGATGGCACTGAGTACGCCTCCCATCTTCAGAAAACCTCATTTGGGATCACCTATACTTAACCCTCTTGTGTTGTGATTCCAGAAATACCACTGTAAAGAAGGAAACTGCTAAAGAGAAGGGAGTTTGGGCACAGTACTTGTGACTACCATTGGCCAAAACAGAAAATACGATTACGACATAAAACTCTTCCATTAAAAGTGACAATGAAAAGAATAAATGAAACAAGATGGGATTGGGAGGGAGACAAACCATAAGAGACTCTTAATCTCACAAAACAAACTGAGGGTTGCTGGTGGGAGGGGGTAGGGAGACGGTGGTGAGGTTATGGACATTGGGGAGGGTATGTGCTAGGAAGTGTGTAAACCTGGTGATTCACAGACCTGTACCCCTGGGGCTAATAACACATTCTATGTTAATAAAAAAATAAAAAATTATTTTAAAAAAGTGACAATGATATGATAACACCCTAATCATTCGTTTTAGATCCCATCAGGCTAAAAAGCCAGTTGGATTGCAGAGGTGAGGGTTTAAATAGATGCGGTACTCACTCGAAAGACCTTCTCCACTCTTGCAATGCTCTTCCCAAAGATGGTTCCAAGTTGGTCTCCAATTCCAGCCAATAAGAAACCAAAGAGCGGAATTCCAAAGATGGCATATAAAATACAAAAGATTTTGCCTCCTTCAGTGCTTGGAGCAATATTCCCATACCCTGGTGAGAAACAGTAAAGAGAGAGAGAGAGTGGTGAGGTGGCCAAGAAATGAAAGAGCTGAATCAAAGAATCCACAAATTTCTTAAAGGGATTCTATGCAATCCCGCTGCACAAGCTTCAGGGAGAGGAGCATCATCAAAAATCTAACATTCAGTGGACGCCTGGGTGGCTCAGTCGGTGAAATGTCTGCCTTCAGCTCAGGTCATGATCCCAGGGTCCTGGCATCGAGCCCTGCATCAGGCTCCCTGCTCAGCGGGAAGCCTGCTTCTCCCTCTCCCACTCCCCCTGCTTGTGTTCCCTCTCTCGCTGTGTCTCTCTCTGTCAAATAAATAAACCAATTAAAAAAAAAACTAACATTCATAACATTGTTCCTTTACTTCTCTTCCTTCTCTCCCTGGAAAGAGTTTTAAGGAGATCCAGCCTTCCTGGATCTTTAATGTGTTTAATTAGATTACATTTTAGGAAATTCACAGTCACCTAGAATTGCACTGCTGGTGAAAACCAGTATCTTCCATTTCAGAAACACCAAATATCTTGGACATATGTGTTCAGGGAGATGTGAAGGTCCAAGGAGGGCTCACCGTTGCCCTTTCTAGATTGGAAAAGAGCTTCTCCTTTAGTCTCTTCCCACGAGCCTCCCCTCCACTTGACAGACTGGCTATCTTCCACATTGGGCTCTCTAGGCTGATGGGTGCTCTGAATTAGGCAGGGTATGTGGTCTAGCACAAATGCAGAAAGGACCCAGGGATCATATAGCCCCATCCTGAGAAGCCTGAAAACAGCAGAGCAGCGAAGGAAGACCGTGCATCTTCCCGCACTGACGGTAATGTTTAGCTCTACTTGACTCTTTTTTCCTTGACTGGGAACTCTGCACCATGTCTGGGTCCTGCCTCTCCTCCCACGTGCTTCTTTCATCAGGAGCTAAAGACATGTTTATTGGTGGAATGGATGTTTGAATATAAAAGAATCTTTTTCTTTTTTTTTTTTTTTGAAGATTTTATTTATTTATTTGACAGACGGAGATCACAGAGAAGCAGGCAGAGAGAGAGGAGGAAGCAGGCTCCCTGCTGAGCAGAGAGCCCGATGCGGGCTCGATCCCAGGACCCTGGGATCATGACCTGAGCCAAAGGCAGAGGCTTTAAACCACTGAGCCACCCAGGCGCCCCTAAAAGAATCTTTTTATAGCCATGTCTATAATATGTATTTCAAATACTGCTTGAAAACACCAACATCTCCATTCTTAAGAATTCTGCAATTATTTAAGTAAATTCTGTATAGTGAGCACGGGGCTTCCTCTGTGTGAATGGGGCTAAGGGAAGTAGTACTGAGGGGAAAAGGCTATGGTATTGGCATGAGTTATAGAGAGATGAGAATCTAAATTTCTCGATATTCAGTTTCATGCCAATGAATATTGCCGATGAATATTGCAGTATTATGCTAACTACCATCTGGAGAGTCACCCAACAGTTCCCCCCTATTAGGGTAACTCAAGTGGGGCCCGTTTCCAAATCCATGCGATAGGTGAGTTACTGGGTTCATGGTTGCGAGCATGTTAGGCTTGCGGCACATTGGCCAAGGCCAATGTTGATGCTGCCCCTCCTGCATCTCCTACAAGCCTCGGGAACTCGGGAACTCGCTGCTGCCGTCTGCTTTTGGGTGGTGAGTCACCTGGCTATTTTCCTTTTCAATTTTCTTGTCAGAATCATTCAAACCTTTTATGATGAAATTATCTAAATTACAGTTTCCATTTCTCAGATGAGTGTTCAGGCAAGCCTTCCTCCTCTTGCGTTCCTTTTACTCAGCACCGTTTTCATTTAATTGTGCAAAAGAGGCTCTTGGAACTTTTTTCAGGTGCTTTCAGGAACTTGGACAAAACCATTTTTCTAAGTGTTGCCCAGGGAATAAATGTGCCTACACAGCTTCCCTTCACACAGGTCGATGGGGACCTGCGGAAACATCTCTGACTCTTGCTTGACTGTCTCCAAGCCGCCTGATCGCTGTCAGGGAAGGTAGGTTTTCTTCCCTCTCAATATCTCAGAAGGAAACATGCGTAGACACAGCACAGGCAAACAAACTGAAGCTTCAAGCCTGCTGAATAGGCATCTCGTTAAGCACGACAAGAAGCGCGCACACTTCTCCCAGCTTTTGGTGAGGACCTGCCCCCCTGCCTGGGTCAGGACTGTGTTCAGGGAACTTGCTGGTAGCGTCCAAGGAGCATGACAAAGGAGAGAGAAGACAGAGGGTCCGGATCCAATTCTACCTCACTGCACCCGGTTGTCCCCAGAGTCTCCCAACCTCCACAAACCCCGATGTCAGAGGGGTTTGAGGATCATGTGGAAAAATCAGTGAGCTGTAAAGTACCATATGAATGCAAAGTAGTAGTATTACTCATAGTATTATTACTACAATTGACTCCTTATTTACTCAGTGTTTCACAGACTAGAACACTATGTTAAAGTTACAACAAAGATCTTGGGTAAGGACACCACTAAGTAAAATCCGCTAATACTCAAATAAGTCTTTAAATACATTCAAGGCCATCACTTCATACTGGGCATAAGGTAATTGCCATTCTTAAGTAACACTGTGTTTGTGCATTGTGTGTGTGTACGTGTGTGTACGTGTGTGTGTGTGTGTGTGTGTCTCTTGTCTCTGAGGAACTATATGGGAAAGCTGTCCCAGGGGAACCCTCAACCCTGTTGTTCCAGACTTTTAACACTTTGGGGCTTTGCTCTGAGACAATGGGAAGGCCACATTCCTGGATATTTGGCTCTACTTTACTGAGCCTGTAAGACTGCTCTGCTCCTCCACCCAGGATCCTTGGCAGAACCTTGAAAGAGGGGTGACGGTTATATAGACTGGAGACTAGAGACTGGAGAGCTTCCTGTTCTGACACTCCCACTTCCTGATTCTCGGATCTTGAGGATTTCCTTAACCTTTCTGCCTCACTTTCCTCCTCTGACATGGGGCTATTGACAGCACAGCTATTAAAGATGAAAAGAGGGGCACCTGGTTGTCTCAGTCAGTTAGGCACCGACTCTTGGTTTCAGCTCAGGTCATGATCTCAGGGTCACAGGATCAAACCCGATGGCAGACTCTGCACTCAGCAGGGAGTCTGCTTGGGATTCTCTCTCTTTCTCTCTCTACCCCTCCCCCTATAAAAAAAAATAAATCTTTTTTTAAAAAAAGATGAAATGGGTTACATGTGAAGTATAAGTTACCTGTGGAGATTAAATACATGTAAATCATGACACAAAGTAAGCACTCAGCAAGTATTAGCCATGATCATCTTGCCCGGGGTTTTCTGTAGGAAGAAACCACTTCTGAGCAATATGTTTCCGGGAAAACTAAGCCCCAGGAGAAAACAGATGGTTGGTTCCTGTTTTCCCTCCAGAAACTGCACCGTTCTCCCACAGTGCCAGGACAAGGGACAGAATGTCTGTACCGCCAATGGGGCTGGCTCAGTGAGTTGGATGGGCCACTGCTGCATTTGGGGTGTGGGAATCTCTCAGCACAGCTAGGGGCAGCAACATCTGGGAAATGAGATGGGATGACATGGAGGCAAGAGAGGCAGCTGGCCAGAGAGAACAGAACATTAGAACTGGCTTTAAGGAAAGCAAAAGAAGTCAAACAGTGACTTTTGGTAGGAGAGAACCAACCCAGCAAGGACCGTCTGTTATGAATGAGAAGGACCAAGGCTGGCCTTGGCTCTGTTTACCTCTAGCCAGAGAACAATCCTGGCCCTTTTTGAAGAGGAAGCTGGTGTTTAAAGAAGGCTGCCTGAGTCGCTCTTGCGTAACACTTCCATTTGCTATTTATATGCCAAAGTCAGACCTTTGCCAAACCATGTGCCATTCAACCCTGTTATTTGGTGAAGAGTGTTCATTCTAGAACCAGAATGTCTAGGGGTGCTAACCTGGCTCTCTGGGGGTGAAATCTGTGCATCGACACCAAGAAGGGCCCCATGCTTGGTTTATTGATCTGCTGTTGCCATTTTGATCTTCTTAATCATTTTTTAACAAGGGACCACATTTTCATTTTACACTGGGCCCTACGAATTTTGTAGCTCATCCTACTGAATGTAGCTGGGCTCACCTGCTTACTAACCATGAGATAATGGCCAAGTTACTTGACATCTTGGAGCCTCTGTTTTTTCATCAGTCATCTGAGCTAATAACAGTACGTAATGGATATGCTGAATGCGATACTAGGTGAGATACTTACGTGGATCCCAGTGCCTGGCACCTATGAGCGCTCAGGAAATGTTAGTCCCAATGACGGCTCCTTCCAAAGCCACAGGTGAGCCCCCAGTTCAGGTGCTGGGTAAGTAGAAATAGCTACTCAGGTACTTTGGCAGGTACAACTTTTTTTTTAATCTTTTTTTTTAAATATTTTACTTATTTATTTGACAGAGAGAGAGAGCACAAGTAAGCAGAGAGGCAGGCAGAGAGAGAGGGGGAAGCAGTCTCCCTGCTGAGCAGACAGCCCAATGCAGGGCTCGATCCCAGGACCCTGAGATCATGACCTGAGCTGAAAGCAGAAACTTAACCCACTGAGCCACCCAGGTGCCCCAGCAGGTACAACTCTTAATTAAGTCTGGGCAAGTGACAGTTACTAGCTACTATCTGGGACCTGAGCAGGTACTCTCTCTGATTTCAGTAGAGTCAGGTGATTCAATCCAAAAATGTCTCAAAGACTGAAATCTACTAGCATCCCATAGCTGTTGATAAGAAAGCATCATTTGCCACCCTTATGAATAGTGGCTTGTGGGGAAGCACCTGAACAAAGGAGTGAGCATCATTCCTCTGGCTTAGAAACCCTAGTTGGTGGGAACCCACCAGCAGAGTCAACAGTCAAGAGCAGGTGGGACTTTCCCACATCAGAATTAGTTACCGAGGAAGGGGACAGGGGACAGGGCACCCTCCGCAAAGACTGGACAGAGTTTCATCTTCCTCTGGCATTGCTCCTAGTTTGGAGAAGTGCCTGAATATATTCCTTT